AGGTAAAGTCTTCAGGTTTCATTTGTTCATTTGTTTGTTGTTTTTTTTTTTTAATCTGGACAGGAGAATTGGATAATGAACTAATTCTTGTTCCTCAAGATTTATGTCTTTTTCCAATTTATTGAATGTTCTGCACACACTGTATTTCAATTAAAGGCAGCAAAATTGTTAATGGTGTATTAATGACACACTACGTCTATATAAAGACACAAATATGTGTTGTGGCCAATTTTCTGGCCTGGTGAGATGACTATTTTTTTCCCCCATAGTTCATTATCTGCGAACAGATGATAACTTTTTACCAGCCGGTATCTCTTGCTACTGCTTCACCACAAGCACTGGCAGCGCCCGCGCTGCTCACGGAGGGCGCCCGGCCGCTATCACCCCGCTCACGCAGCCGGTTTGTGTCCCAGTGCTCAGAGAACAGGCCTGCTCCTCCCTTCGCGCTGCGGTCTGACCCCAGGAGGCTGAAGCAGCCGGGGAGCGGACAGACAGGCGGCGGAAGCGCGCGTCAGCCAGCCCGGGAGGGACGGCAGGCCAAACCGCGGGCATGCACTGGAGAAGCGCAGGCGGAGCAGGCTCCGTGCCTCCCTGCAGCGCTAACACGGCGGCCCGGCGCCTCCCAGCGCCCCACAGGCCGCGGCCGCGGGCTCCCCCCCCGGCGCCGCGCAGACCCCGGCCACCCGCCTCCGCCTGTTGGTTGATCCGTTGCCACGGCAACACGCTCACTCCCCCCCCCCCCCCGCCCCAGTCCTCCCTAGCCGTTCTGCCCCACGTGACCCACGGCGGCTCTCCCCGCCAGCTCGCCTGTTACCAGGGCCGCGCGAGCCGGCGGGCTGGGCTGCGTGTGAAGCGGCTTGTTCTTTCCGATTGGCTGCTGCCCAAGCTCGCTGATTGGTAGGGGGCGGCGGAGCCCGGCCCGTCGATTGGTTGGGCCCGGAGGTGAGGCCGTGGGGTGATGCCGGCCGCCCGGGGGCCTGTGCCAGGCGACCCTCCGCAGCCCTGGCCCGCGCACAAAGGCCGCCCGAGGAGGGCATAGCACGGCAGGCAGGGCATAGCACGGCAGGCAGGGCACAGCACGGCAGGCAGGGCACAGCACGGCAGGCAGGGCACAGCACGGCAGGCAGGGCCGCGGAGGAGCTCCCCCGCCGCCGCTCGGTGTGCTGCTGGCCGAGCAGCACCAGGCACCCGCCCCGCCGGCTCTCGCTCAACTGCCGCTGGGTGCACGCGGAGCGGGGGGTGTGGGCGGTGCGGCCGTCACGCTCGCCGTGCGCCCAGCGGCCAATGGGAGGCCTGGGCGAACGCGAGCAGCACGCGGGGCCCGCGTGTCCCCGCCGCCTGCCGTGTCAATCACTCCCCTCCCTGTCTCCCCCTCCGCTCCTGCCCTCCCTGCCCGGTTCGCCGTGGCCCCGCCTCCCGCCCGGCCGTGGAAGGGATAACGGGGGGGGAACATGGGGCGGTGATGAAGCATTTGTCGGTCTCGGCACCGCGCCCCTCGCTGCTGGCGCCCTGTAATGAGGGAGATTACCGGTCCCCACTCTTGTGGTGGGGACGGGGGGGCTGCCGTCGCAGCACGGGAACGGGAGCCCGGCTGCCCCTGGGACTCACTGCGAACGGCAGACCCGCCCGGGGAGCGGGATGCCGGCGGGTAGGGTTGGTATGGGAGAGGTTATGTAGCGCCGGGCTGCCAGCCCGGCCAGGCCCGGCCCCCTCCCTCCCCCGCTGCGGGGCGAGGGGCGGAGACGGCGCGGCCGCCGCCTTTATCTGTGGTGGCGGCACGGGGGGTGGCACTGGGGAACACCTTGTTTTAAGATGGGCGTTATAAATACGGCGCTGGGGATGGGAGCACAGCCACGGGCGGCAGCGAACTGACGGCGCGGCTGAGAGCGGCTCCTTACCACGGTGGGTGCCCCCGCCCTTTTCCCGCCGCGAATGGGTACCTTTTCCCCCGGGGCTCGCTCGAGTTCCTGTTTACCGGCGTGGTGCCGGTGTGCTTTCCCCTTAGCCGGTCCCAGCACGCGGCACGCGTGGCTCCGGCAGGGGCTGTGGATTTGGGGGTGGGTTTTGCGTTTTCACTCTTTCTGCGCAGCGAAAGCGGCAGCAGCGAGCGCCGCGGCGGCACCGGGCGCACCGGGAGGCTGTCGGGGTTTTGGGAGGGCGAGGATAAGGGATGGGGAGGAGAAGCCTGGAAAGGGAGAGAGGGCCGGGGAGGGAGGCGGAGAGGGCACTGACGGGAGGAGACAGGCCGGGAGAGGGAGGGAAGAAGGGAGGAAAAGCAGCCCCTAACCCTGTCGCCGCCGCCTCCCAGCAGATCTCTGCTCGCCAGCAGCCGCCGAGCCATCCCTAGCCAGCGGAGGAGGGCGGACAGTGCCGGTAGCGAGGAGGTCGCCGCTGGAGGAGCCTTGAGGTCCGAGCTGCCTGGCCTGGCCTCGTGTCGCTCGTCCTCCGGCTCGACCACCGTCATGATGCAGATTTGCGACTCGTACAGTCAGAAGTACTCCCTCTTCAACGCCATGAACCGCTTCATCGGTGCCGTCAACAACATGGACCAGACGGTGATGGTGCCCAGCCTGCTGCGCGACGTGCCGCTGCTGCTGGAGGAGTTGGACTCGGCGGGCGCCGTCTGCCCGCCGCGGGAGGCCGCCCTGCCCACCGGGGACCCCGGCGCCTATTTCTCCCGCAGGGACATGTACAGCCATTACATGCTGCTCAAATCCATCCGCAACGACATCGAGTGGGGCGTGGTGCAGCCGCCGGCCGGCGAGGAGGCGGCCCGCAAGAAGGACAAGCTGGGCGGCGGCGGGCCCGCCGAGGAGGGTGAGGGGGAGGAGGACCTGGAGCAGCAGTTCCATTACCACCTCAGCGGACTCCACTCTGTCCTCTCCAAGCTCACCCGCAAGGCCAACGTCCTCACCAACAGATACAAGCAGGAGATCGGCTTCAGCAGCTGGGGACAGTGAGTGCCGGGGGGGAGCGGGGGAAGGCGGCGACCGGACCACCGGCACCGGGTACGTCGCTATCCGGCGCCGCTGCTGCTGCTGCCGGCGCCGTAGCGGGTGGTGCCCCGGGGCTGACGCTTCCCAGGACTGCAGCCGGTTTTCTATCAACGCACAAGCCAGAGAGAGAGATGTAAATTAATCAGTACTAGTTTATTAATTACCCCCCCCCGTCCTTGTTTTTTATTGTACGGTCTGGGGCGAGCGGGTGCCGCTCCTCTCCGGGAGGGGTGGCTGCACCCGTACATGTACGAGGCAGTGGCGTAGCTGGCGGATAGGAGGCTCGGATGCAAGCCGATGAATATGACAAAACTGGCATAAAATTGCTTCTGCTATCCGGGAGGGAACCAGGTGGGCTGAGGAACATCCCTCTGTAGCGGGATGGATGGCGGGTCACACGGTTGTACATGTGCTGGAGCTTATTTAATACTTTTTTACTCAGATGTAGAGTATATTCTAAAATAAATGCAAATGTATTAACTGAAAGTGACTTAAACTTTTTGGTATGATTTATGTTTGCTTCATTAAATGATATTTTTAACGTCTGGAATTCTTCTTTTTCTGAATTACTTCCAGAGCTGCCTTACTAGACACAGAAATATGTGCATGTGCAAGAGAGAGGGTTTTGTGGCTTTTTTTTGTTTCCCAAAGGGAGTGATTACGTAGTGATGGTAACTCCACATATCTAAAATGGATGAATGACCATATAAGCTGCACCGTACATGGCCTGAGTTCTGGTAAGCTGCTCCCAGCTGGACAGTCCAGTTGCTGTATTAATGCTGGCATGAAGGTCAGTGCCCCTTTAACAAAATCCGAGAAGATCAAGTATGGTTGTTCTGCAGGCAGCGATTCATGGAGGTTGGAGCAAAGCCGAGGAATGACTCTTGCTTTTTTCAGGAAGTATCTTAATGTATCTCGGGGAGGTCTTTTATCTCCTGAATAGGTCTAGGATACTTGCCTCCCCCACCTCTTGAATGTCTTTCCTCTTATAATCCTCCATGGATACTAGAGATTAATAGGGTTTATATTACCCAAATTTTATTCAGTTCTTTTTCTCTTTTTTTTTTTTTTTATTTGCTGAAGTAATGTGCCTCAAAATTGGGTGTTTCTATCATGTTGAAATACTAAATGTGTACTTGCTGATGACAACAGAATGTGCACAGAGCATAACCATTTAATAAACATATATGGCCTTCCATAACATATGATGTTTTCTTCTTGGGCTCTGAATTGCCAAGTTTGTAGACATACCGAAATTTTACTTTGTATTGCCATCAAATTTAGGGCTTGTTTGGTTGTTTTGGTTTGTTGAGGGTTTGGGGTTTTTTTGGTGGCTTTTTCCTTTTAAAAATAGAAGAATTATTCTTTCACCTTTAAGGATATTTTGGTTAATTTCCTTTTCAACGTAACTTAAAACAGTAAAGCATGAGCTCTCCAGTCATGGTACTAGTTGGCAGAGGCTTGTATAATTAAAGTTGTATGTTTAAAAGTGTGAATTTTTGGAGGTTTTGCCTTCTAAGGTAAAGAAGTTTGTAAGGCTGGAAGATTTTTAGTTTGGAGATGCCTCTTCTCTTTGTAATGTTGTTAACTCCCTTACCCCTCCCCTCCTGGGACGATGCCAGGAAAAAAGTCAGGAACAAGGAAGGGATTACCCTGGTTTCCTAACATGTCTGCTCACCAGTCTTGCTGTAGTCTAATGTAATGTGAAAGATGCGGTGCCTTATGGTGGATAGTAAAGTTTTCTTCTCCAGAAGGGTAGAAAGAGAGAACATGTTCTGCTGCATGGATCCCTTCTGCCTTGTGCTCAGCCCCCTGGAAACCACATTACAGGCTCTGCTCAGCAGTGCTGGTGAAACCTCAGAGGAAAGCAGCTAACACAGTTTCAACAGCAATCCTTTTGAACTTGCAGTTACATCTCCTGGTATGGATTTAAACAATGCTGGTTTAAATATTGCATGAGGGGCAATGTGGTGCTGGTTTAGGTTATTGAGTAACGTCAGAAAAAGAGTATTACATTAGTGCAGTATCACCATGAAGGACACATCCATTATTGTTTCATCTTAAAAACAAGAGATAAGTTTAGCATTATTTGGCAGCAGAGGTGTAATTTCCTTACAAGTAAAGCTGTGGGTAACAGAGGAGGTAGGGTGATACCATGACTCAAGGGTTTGTCTTGCCTGAGTGACTAATGTGCAGTTGCTGAACTGCACATGGCTCCCATGTGGGGGCACGGCTGCGTGGCTGGTGCAGTCCGGGTAATCCCAGTTCAGCCATGGCAAAAAGTGCTGAGACTCACAGGAGCAAAGAGACACAGACGCCTCCCACTTGGGAGCAGCTTTAGAATTCCCCTTTTTCAAGGTCAAGGGAGAGGATTGAGGCTCTTGGGAGCAAGAAAGAAAGCTTGATGCCATGGAGGGAGGGGGAGAACAACCAATAAATACAGGAATGAATTTCCCATGCAAAGGATGTGGAAAAACAACTTAGCTTAAAAGTGGCAATTAAATAAATGCTAGCTCCTGATGTTGCAGCAAGCAAGGATGAGATTGCGGAGTCTTATGCACTGATTTTTGTATGTTAGATGCTGAAATAGGAAAAATCTCCATAATACAATTAGGTTTATTATTAGCAGTTATGTTTTTTTTTTTTTTTTGAAGGACTGGATCGTATTAAGTGCTCCTGATTGGGCACAGAGTTCAGCAAACCTTTAGTCTGCTCTGGGGCAGTGATTCTGACACTTGATAGTGACAAATGGCATCAGTCTAAAGTAAAAGTATCTTTATGATGTCAAACACTTTGATAGGTGGTCTTCTTTCCAAGGCATGCATGAACAAAAAGACAACTTCCTAAACTGCCATAACCATGCACAAAACGGAGGAATATATATGTGCACTGTGAGAAGCAGTTGTCATTTTTAGCTCACCTAAATAAAATAGACTCAATAGACAGTAAGGCAGACATTAGAAGAGTAATAAATGAGATTCAGAACAGTGCGCTTACAAATTGATTACAGCAGAAGGGTATATTACAGCCAAGGAGCCTCAAGGACGTCGTTGCTCATGAGATGCATCAGTTAATATACAAAAGTGCCCAGTACGTGTCATTACACTTTATGAGTCAACTCTTATTTTGTGTATACAAAAGGAGAGCAGCGGTGGAAAGAGCCAAGCTTTTGTCTCAGGGCCTGTCTGTATGGGTATATATGTACAAAAATAAGGACACTGGGGGTGGCCGTGAGTTGTCTGGGAAGAACAGCCTTTCAAAGCCTGCTTTGACCTGGATGGATGGCAGGTCTCTGCTGGATTAGGTGTGCATTTCAGGAATCCTCTCTGCTTCTGGCACTATAAGGTTTTCTCCATTACCCTCCAGAAGTGGGCTGCCGTATCCGCTTCTGCCCAGGAGCAGATTAAAAGTCTGAAATCAGTATCTTGACACCCACTGGGACTAGACCCACCTGCTGCAGTCCCATGTGTTTCTCCTCTGCCTCCTCAGCATACAAACCCCTTCTGCTGCTGCAAAGGGCACAGCGTGGTCAGTGCTTGGTGGAAAGCAGCAGGTAAGTCTGAGTCAGGCTAGGCTGCCAACTTCCTACTTTCCCTCTGAAAGCTTTTTCTTGCAGAAGGTTTTAAACAGATCAAGATATCTGTGTTTTGTGGTTTATTTCCCTGCCCCCCCCCAGGCTCTTGCACCAAGACACATGAGTCATCAGTAGATTGGCTTCGCTGAAAGATGTGCTTCTGTTAGTGCCAGATGGAAGGTTACATTAGGATGTCATTACTATGGAGTTAAGCTCTGCACCCTGTTCTACAAGGGGAGGAAAAAAGAAAGGGATAGTAATCTTCTCTTCATGCCTGTGGGTTCTGTGGAAAAGTCTGCAGTGATTTTCTCACACAGACTTACTTCACAGAAGCACTGGGGGGGAGGGGAGAGAGAGTGTCTGGAAATACTGCTTTTTCTGATTTATGTCTTTAAACATATCTTTTTATTTTTATTATTTATATCTAGCTAACAGTGTGCTAGGCAGTACATTCCAACAAGCTCAACAATCTCAGGTGATAATACACATGGGGAAAAAGAGGAGTATGGTGGGTTATAACCTGCCATAAAGTCTGACGGGATTGCAAGCAAGGTGAGCGTTGCAAAAGCAGTTCCAGCTTCACATGTGTTTTTCTCTTGTTTATTATTGTCACTGCTAAACAAGCAGAAATACCTGATGCATTGGTTCTAAATGTTGCAAAATAAGTTTCCTTCCAGGCCACAGATTTGCACGACAAGTTTGGGTCAAAATCGGTTTTAAGTTATAAACTCCTTTCCAAAAGGAAATTTGCACGCAGGAGTGCAGTAATTGTATATCTTTTTGTTGGTAGCCAGCTACCAGAGTCGACACGCTTTATAAAAAGTAATATTCCTTCTCTGTTCAGACACACTCATACTTATTTGACCTGGAGTCAGGATGAGGAAAACATCTTCTAGTTTTTGTGTTCTTGAATTTCGTTCTGGAAGAGATGTCACAGAAAAAGCTTGGAAAGTTTAGAGAGAAAATAGGTGCCTCTGGATTAAATCACAAAACAGTGAATGAGCTTGCCTTATAATGTTTGTGAGGTTCGTCATAGCATCAATTAAAGCATTGTATCTTTTTATCATGTTTATCTACATACATTTGATTCTGATATAATTCTTTCATTTTGTTCAAGCCTGTTATCAACTTTCGGTTACAGACAGCAGGGTTGATGACCCACAGGCACAGACACACCCCTTAAGACTAGCTGAGCCTTTTCAACTGCATCTCCCTTTTCATCTGCGTTTGAACTGAGAAGATGGGCAGAGTGCCTAAAGCTGTGACTCAGGGTATATCGCAGAAGCATGGCAACCATCTTGCTGTGGGATTGCTGTTTGGCCACTGACTTATGTGCTGGAGCAGGGAGAGGATGCAAGGTGAAGCTTTTCTTCAGGGATTTCCTCCAGATTGTGCTGTGGTGGAGAGGGAGAAAGTCAATAACCAACGTGGTTTTTCCGTGTGTGCAAAGGGAAATGATGGAGCATCCTTTCACCCCTCCTGAGCCGGAGGGCTGGTGCCCGTACACAAAAGCTTTCCACCACACTCAGGGCAGAAAAGATTTATTTGAGGTCTAAGTTAACAGCTTTCATGGTTTATCAAAACACCTGGGAGTTGACAGATTAAAGACTTGCCGAGTCAGCAGTAGTCTGCCAACAAGCAGATGTTGCATGGATGGACGCTGTTTCAGTGCGGAGATTAGATATGTTGGACAGACTACACCCTTCCTGCTTTTTTATGGGTCTGTAGGAAGCTTGACCAGTCAGCTGGTTTCACTTATACCACAATTGGAGGAGATTTCACTGGAATCCAAGAATGGTCTTCTTTTTGTGTGCAAAAAAATAGTTCACAAGTATTTCAGTGCAAAATTCTTCTCCCCTCGTTTCTCTTGCAGGTAGGCTGTCTTGCCTTTCTCTTGCAGGTAGGAGACACAAGGCCTCAATTAGACATACCTCAACAAAAGCAGTTTTCCAAGGTTTAATATCTGTGCTTCTGCA